TCGGCCATGGCAAAGTCGTGAAGTGGCGGGATGTCGGGATGCGAAGGAAAGGGATGGAAAATGATGACCGAGCTGCGGTTCAACGATGGTATTATAAGCTTAATAAGATCGGGCTCTGGCCCCAGTTGGAGTCCATAACCGACGTATCCCCTGGTCTGGGCGGCTGGGCGGTCTGGTGGGGACGGGGGTGCCTCCCACATCCCGGGTGGCCCCCTCAGCGGAGGTAATCCCGGGCAATCGGCCTCAGCTGTCGCCGACCCTGGTCCTGACCTTTACCAAGGGGTTTGTACCAGTCAAAGCGCCACAGAACGGCACTTAGTTCGGGATTTCATCTATTGGACAGTCAAAGGGTGCCATTCTCAGACCCAGAGGCCATTGTGAGACTCGTCCGGATATTAAAAGCGATGGACCTAAAGCGGTTCCCGTTTGTCTCCTACTATCATACCAGAGAAGTCTAAATCTACTTTGATACAGCTCAAGCTCCCCGAGAAACACCACCACCATGACAGGCCGCACGTTTCTCAAGCAAGTCGCGTTCGTCCGGCGCCGCCCGGGCATGACAACAGCCGAGTACTTTGACTACCACTACAAGACCCACGGCCGCCTTTCTGTTGCGCCCACGCCGGGGCACACGCCGACCATTTACACCCAAACCCACTTCTTTGACTCGGCCTACTCATCCCCGACGCCTGCTCAGCCATGGTACTCCGGCCACAACGGCGTGACGGAGCTCTACTTTGACGATCTCGCCCATGTAGCGAACACCTTCTCCAGCGACCACGTCCGGACCGTCGTTGGGCCGGACGGCGCCAACTTTAGCGACAGCGGCGCCAGTATCTGCATGTTCTCGCGGGAAGAGGTCATTTCCGGTACCGTTGCTCCTGGCGAGGAGGGTGTCGTCGCCAAATATGCGCTGCAGGGCCGCGGTGACATCGAGGATGACACGGAGCTTGGGGAAAAGTTGAAGGAGCATGTCGTTGCCGCATTTGGAGATTGTTCCGTTGCCATTGCTGTTGATGTGAGGGTCAAGGACGAGCTGGGCATTCTGGGGTATTTCGGGTCGAAGGATGCTCCGGCCATGTCGCTTGTGTACACTGCGTATTTGAAGGACAAAGCTCGCTCGATTCCGGCCTTCAGGGAGGCTCTGAAGCGTTTTGAAGAGAACGCGGACGGTTTGATCAACAAGCAGGCGTCTTTTGTTTGCTTTGGAAAACGAGGTGTGGTGTTTGACAGCACCGAGGGGAACGAGTTTGACCCGAGCCACCAGCCGGATCTCAGCCGTATTTACTGATCGCAAGATGACACGAATAATTCGCCTCTCTTTTGAGGTCTATAATATGATATGCTGTTCAGTCTTGATCCCGCATGTGTTGTGCATGGTTAAACCGGCTTGCATCACGGCTCACGACACGACCACCGATCAGGGGTCACACAGCCTAGCAGAGGGGGCAGCAGCGGCAAACATTTATCGAACAGAAAGAATATTGACATGATAAAAAATTTAATCGAAAGAAACTTGGAAAAACCAAACACAGCGTAAGCAAAAACAAGAAAAGAATATCCAGGACAAGCCAACAGCACACTCAAGCACCCTTCGCCGACGGGCCAAACCTCTTCTCCGCTCGCTCCTGCAACTCCGCCGTCCAGCGGAATCCATTCTCCTCCCACTCCCTCGCCAACACTCCATGCTCCTCCACTGTCAGCGTAATCCTTCCACCCCCTCCTTCGTCTCCTGCCAATGCACAAACGGCACCCACCGCCATGCGCCCTCTCAAACTCCGCCAGCCTCTCCGCCCTCCGGATCAGCCAGCCTCCCAACCCTCTCCGCCCGCTCCTCAAACACCGACGGACTCTTCCCCAACTCCAGACTCTCAACCTCCTCCTTCCTCCCCTCCTCATCCTCCACAAACGCAAACGGACCCTGCACCACCACCCCGCTCCCATCCGCCTCACGAGAAACGAATGCCTCTCCACCCGCTGCAGCCCAAGACCCAACTCATGCAGCCTTGCCAACGCCTCCCTGCACGCCTCCAGATCCCCCGCCCCGGCCTCTCGCACTGCATCCGGAGAAAAAGCCTCCAGCAGGAACCCGACCACCCGCTCGCCATTCGGTGACGTGCCCCAGGAAGCGGGCGCCCAGGCCCGGGTCGCGCGCGGTAATCAGCTGGTGGGCGCGCGACGCCTGCTCGATGGCGAGGTGGTGGCCTGGCAGCCACTCCGCTACCAGGACGACGACGGAGTCGTTGGGATTGGTGGGTGGCAGCAGCGAGGCCGGCGGGTAGGGATGAGCGTGGCGGTGGGGTGGTCGAGGGTTTGCAGGTGCAGGTGCGGGTTGGGAGGGGACTTCCGGGAGGGAGGGCGAGGTCGGCGAGGTCGATTGTGGTTGGGTGCCAGACGGGCGAGGCAGATTCAAGGCCGAGGGCGGCGAGGGCGGCGGCCGGGGGGTCAGAGGAGGTGGAGGTGGGGCGAGTTTGCCGTCGTCGGAGGTTGGGGCGAGGTGGGCGACGACCCAGTTGCCGGAGGGGATAGTGCCGAAGGCGAGGTTGGCGAGGCGGTGGACGTGGGCGTCAGGGCCGGTGATGGTCTTGCTGGAGTTGGGAGCGCGAGGTATTTGATGGTTGGTCCGCCCGCGGCGTGCTCCGGGCGGATGCGGATGCGGTAGAGGTCCGGCGAGTCGGGGAAGGCGAGCATGCCTGGGGCGATGCTGTCGATGGTGAAAGGGACGGTGGTGGTGGACGACATCTTGGAGGGATTGGTGAGAGGAGGCGACAGAGGAGTGATTGAGTTGGTTGTGTGAACTCAGAGGGAGGCAGCTGTGTGCTGTGTGATGATGATGAGGGAGCAAAGAACGGTGGAAGACGGAAAGGGAGACTCATTTTATACTTTTTGGGCTTCTTGAGAATATGTATCGAGATCCCATTTTAGTGGAGTTGATGCAGTCGTTCCCAATCCAAGACGCATTGCAGCAGCACAGTCCCCCAATGCAGCGCCTCCCGATCGGGAAGGGGATGCAGGAAAGCGGGCTCTCTTTCTCTTTTTGGGTGGCCAAGCAGCAAACAAGACGGCGTCAGCCAATCGAGAGAGGAATTGCCGGATCTGTGCCTGACTGCTTCTGCCAGATCCGTCTCTCACTGCATTGGGTTCAGGAATCACATTCTGAAGGCTTTTGAAGACTGATTGTTCCAGGTGCTCTTTCTGCCTCGGTACAACAACCAGGTCATCTGTACCGACTATCTAGGTACCGGATCTAGAAGGACACAAAGAGAACAAATGCCAGCAACCCTGGAAAGAGATTGAGCGCAAACCCCTGAATCTGATCCTGCCAGGCCAGCAACACCCAAGGCAGCCCAGCTACCATCCCACAACCCCCCCTCCTTCCCTCAGTTGTTGTTCTGTTTCGAAAGGTAGAGGCATTTATCGTTTGCCTGACTTCTTGCCACCCCGCGGCAGGTTGCAACCGTTGCAGGGTATTGCAGGGGGACGACGCCCATGTTGACGATGTAGCAGTTGCGGCCTCCGGGGCCGGGGCAGGCAGACGAGTCGGTGACCATGCGGGAGTGGCCGCAGGTGTAGCCGTAGGTGGTGACTCTGCACATGTTTGCTGGTGGTTGGGTGTTGGAAAGGTGGTGTGTTGGTTTGTTGGAAGTGATTGATTGAAACCGCTGAGAAGCGAAGTGAAGTTGTTGCTGTGAATGGAATGCTTGATTGATGATGTTCTGAATGAGCAGTTGTTCTCTCCGTCGACTGGAAGCGTCCCTTTATACATTTTCCAGCTTCATCCTTGACCACGCCTTCTGTCCCTATTCAGAACTCCCACGGCCCATTCTTGGAAGTCACGCTTGCCGGCGCCGCTCTGGCCGTCATCGGATCTGGTCACCGTCATCGACATTGTCACAGGATGATTCCTTCTGGAGGTCATCACCGTTGACGCCGCTCTGGCCATGGCCTGGTCGTGGTGAGCGAGAACACCGGATTCACCACAAACACTGCCCCTTCTGGGATCACAATAGCTGTTTGCGCCCCCGTGACTTTGGTCTAGCTGTGGTCACTGGCATCGGCCCAATCACAGACATCATAAACCCTGTTTCAACCGGGGGCTTCAGCCATCTTCCGAACCTAGTCGGCATCATCTCATCGCCCGTGTGTGACCCGATCACGATTGTCAATCTTGATCTACCAGGCTGTCTATACATAGCCTCAGAGGAGCAGGAGATGGCGCCTCTCCCAAACATGCCACCCAGGTGACTGGGTTGCCGGGTCGTTTGATCCTGTCCCAGCCTTCAACGCAGCATCTGAATGACCTATCGCAAGCGTGGTTAAGGTATGTTCCTCCACGACGCTCCTAAGCCCATGCCGCCCGGGGGCTCCCGAAAGCGGCGGTGATGCATCTTCATTCGCTAGAGGGAATTACGGCGGCGCTTTGCCGAATGAAATTGGTCATCAACATCCCCTGGGCGGTCTGGGAAGGAAGCTGACCGGGAGCGGCAAGTGCTTGAGTTGGAGCAAGGCGCAGGCGCCTAGCACACTTCCCTATTCGGTAACATTTTTCAAGCCTTTATCACTTTTCGGCCCCCAACGCTCTCTGTGCCCTTCCCTGAGCGGTCATAACCTTAGAGAACACTTAGAGTTCTGGAGGCGGCACCGCTGTGGCACAGGGGGCAGGGACCCCTGCCACTATCACCGGAGCTCTCACGTTCCCATGCGGCCGCTATGACACCATAGGTCATAGCCACAGCCTATCCCCTTACCGCCCTCTGCCAGTTCCTCAAGCGGCTGTTGAAGCCGCTGATGCGGCAAGCACAGCATTTGCCGGCGAGCCCGTTGTTTCAGTGCTCACCCTCCTCTGACAATAACGCCCGGCTGACGGCCAATTTCGCGCCCGCCAACTCGCTCATCCCACTCATCTGCACGCCAGGCCGTCTTCAGCTCAAGGCGGATTCGGAACCTGACAAGGGTGGACCTCCTGTCAGGTATTTCGAGACGAGAGCAAAAAAGCAAGCTGCCCAGTAACAGGATTGAACTGTTGACCTTCGCATGACTCAGTATAACAGGAGATGCTGCTATATTAGTACGACGCTCTAACCAGCTGAGCTAACCGGGCTCTCCTTGTTGAGCTGTGATGTGGTGGGTCCGAGGGGGTCCTCAGATCACTAGCTTGCAGGCGCAGAGTGCGGACCAGTGTACAATTAGATTGGCACAGAAGGGACTGTTTGCCTTTTCATGGGAGACGCAGGCGGGAATTGACTGTCATTGAAAAAGGTGGTCCCGTGTCAGTTTAACAAGCGAAGGATGTCCTGGATATTGTGGCGAAAAAAAATAACACTGACCGCCAGAACGAAGAGACAAGTGAAATGCCGGAAGAAAAGTTTGGACGAGATCGCCAACATCTGACGTGTTCTTGTTACTCTGTAGTTCAAGGGCAGCGCTCGGCGCAGCCGGCCCCCGTGGGACGAGGCCCCGAGCGACCCCATGTGTCGAACCACACTTAACGTTAGCATGCTGAGCCAAAATTCAGCTCAATGGAACTACGCCACACGAATCCGCTGGCTCGGCGAGCTCGGCTCACGCCTACTCCTGACTGGGCTGCCAGGCTGGGGCCGGCTTTGCTTGGTTCACTTGGCCAGCCACTCGTCGGAGGGAGTCTAACCCCCCTTCAATATCCGTAACGCAACACTGAAGATCTTCCCCTTCTGCTGCTAGCGGGAGCACACCTGGATTCTAGACGTCTTCGGCAAACTCCTTGGCCTGCACGGGGCGATAGGAAGCACAAGTGTGAGCCAAGCGTGAAACAGTTTTTGCATGCGTTCGGGGCCCTTCGAGCCGCCGTCGTTATGGGGCTCGATTCGCTGCAGGAACGAAACTCCTCTCCACCTACCATTGCCAAGCACGAACCAAGTCGGGAGTTTGGCCAGGCGACAACACGTAGATGCCCGCGCTATTGAACACACTAACGATCCCTTGTTGGGGGTTCAGCTGGCGAGAACTAGCTGGTCATGATCATGATCATGATATGGACCGTAGATCATTATAATGCCCTGGGTAGGTCTGTTTGCGTTCCCAGCCAATTCAGAATTGTTCTTTTTTCCATTTCCCCTTCTTGTCTCTGCTTCGAGACAGCCACTCGTTTCTTGCTTTCATCACAAGCAGCATGGCTCCCACGCGCTCCAGCCTGGGGCAGCTGCTGCCACTCATTTCCCTCCTGGCAGCGACAGTCACGGCGCTTCCAAACCCCCATTCCAAGCGCGTTCCCGACAATGCCCTCTCACTCGGCTGTTACCTCGACAATGCCGGAGGCAAGAGAGCCCTCGAGGCCCGAAGCTACGCGTCCGATGACATGACGGTCGACAGCTGTGGCGCCTTCTGCCGGGCTGCCAAGTTCCCCCTGTTCGCCGTCACGTACGGACGCGAGTGCTTCTGCGGCGACGCCGTCTCGGAGGGCAACACCAAAGTCGGCGATGGGGACTGCAGCTTTCCCTGTGCCGGCGATTCGACCCAGACCTGCGGCGCCGGGAACCGGATCAACTTGTACTGTCTCCCCGACGGTCCTGTCCGAAAGCCCGCCTCGCTTTCCGGCATCACATCCCTTGGTTGCTTCGTCGACTCCCCGAACCACATCTTTCCATTCAAGGTCACCGACGCCGACGACATGACGGCCGCCAAGTGTGCCGCCAACTGCGCCGGATACCCCTACTTTGGAACACAGTGGTCAAGGGAGTGCTACTGCGGCACCACGGCGCCCACCGTCCCCGCGCCCGCGGCCGAATGCTCCATGGCGTGCTCGGGCAACGACGACGAGCTGTGTGGCGCTGGCATGCGCATCAACGTCTATCATCTCGACTCGGAGCTGGCGCCCAATCCCACCCCGGCCGTGGATGGGTTCGAGTACCAAGGATGCTACACCGACAACGTACCCCAGAGAGTCCTTGCCGGCACCTTCTACGTCGAGACGCCGATGACATTGGCCAAGTGTGCCGCGTTGTGCAAGGCGAGCCAGTACGGATGGTTCGGTGTCACGTACGGCACCGAGTGCTACTGCGGCGCCAGCCTCAACGGCGACAGCGTCAAGGTTGCCGAGGCCGAGTGTGATACCCCTTGCAGCGGCGATCGCTCCGAGACATGCGGCAGTGCCAACCGGCTCAATGTGTACAAGGACCCGGCTCTGGTGGCTCCTACCGCCGGCAACCTGGAGACGGTCGGGGGCTTTTCGTACAGGTCGTGCTGGACCGATAACACCGGCGACCGGTCCCTCAAGGCCGTCGACTACCGCACCGACGACATGACGGTTGAAAAGTGCGCCGAGCGCTGTGCCGACTACCTCTACTTTGGCCTGGAGTACTCGAGGGAGTGTTATTGCGGCAATGAGCTCGGCGGCCAGGCTGCGCCCGCGAAAGAGTGCGGCATGCTTTGCATGGGCGGCAAGGGAGCGCAGTGGTGCGGCGGACCCGACAGACTGAATCTGTACAGCAAGGCTGTGACATCTTCGAGCACGTCTTCGGCCGAGTCGAGCACGACCTCGGAGGCCAGCAGCACCAGCGAGATGCCGGTTGTCACGTCTTCGCTGTCTTCTGCCGAGTCCACTTCCTCGTCTTCTTCGGCCACCGAGTCCACGTCTTCAGCCGAACTCACATCCACCTCGTCCCTGGCCGAGCCTACGGCCACCTCCTCAGCCGAGCCCACGACATCCGAGGTCCTCACCTCTTCGGAGACGTCCAGCACCACATCTTCGACGTCGACGGTCCCCTCATCCACCAGCTTCACCACAACCTCGTCTTCTACCAGCCAAGGCCCAAGCCTGACCACCATTACCTCGTGCCCGCCCACGCCTACCATCGCCGACGTCCCGGAACTGTGTTACTACCCCAAGCTCCCCGGGCCCTGCGACAAGCTCACGTCTAGCACCAATTATCTCTCCCTGTCAACGGCCCTGAGATCCTGTCAGAGCACGCTGCGGTCTTGGGGCATGACTGCCAACCCTGTCGCGACGGCCTGCTTCCCCACGACCACGGCCATATACCCGTCCAACGCAGCCGTCGTGTCGTCGACTATGTCCAGCGTGTGGTCCTGCCTTCAGACTGCCGGCGTTCTGTGCAACGCAAACGCAGATTGCGTCACCAAGACTTATACTGTCGGTCAGGTCCCCACGCCGGTGCCCACGGTCGGCGTTGACGTCCTTGGCGATGGTGGTTTTGAGTCTGGCACCTTCGGGAACTGGTCCGTCAGCGGCTTCAACGAGCGCATGACCGCCGACATCTTGGCAGGGCGTCCTCACAGCGGTAGGAACGGGCTTCGCATGAGTTTTGCCAACACCAGTGGCGCCAGCGGCGTTCTTTTCCGTATGATTTACGACGTCGAGGCCGGGAAACCGTACGAGTTTCGCCTTTGGCTCTATTCTGAAAACAACCAAGCCTTCACGAGCGTCTCCCAAGGTGCCTTTCCAGTCTCGGCTGCCACGAACATCGAGGGTGCCCAGCTGTATCAGGCCGCGAGTGGCGTTTGGGTGCAGAGGATCGTAGCTTTCACAGCCACCTCTTCCTTTTTGCACCTTCGCGTCACGGCGGGCGGAAATGTGGTTGAGCCGACTGGCGGTAACCAGGGCAAGAATACCATCTGGATCGATGATATCCAATCGGTCAGGATGGCGTAGGGTGCATCATGCCTGAAGTTGATGTACATGGGGTACCGGGAGGAGGTGTGTTTTTTTTTTTTTTTTTCAGAGAGTTGTGTTGTTAATTCAGAATATGAAGATCCAGACGTACAATGCGATCTTGCGCGTTGAGTATTACAACGTTTATCGTATGTACTCTTGTGAAAATGGTTTGGTGCCACACTGTGCCGTATGCCACATAGTCAAACGGAGCAAAGCTTTAAACCGGGAAAGGGGGGAATACAAGGTGGATAAGGTACCTAGGTAGGTATGGAAGGTAGGCTACCTGAACAAAGTAGATCATTGACGTCACACACTGCAACATAACAAGGAACCAATCAACATTGTACAAACTACATCACAATTCCAAAGCAACACACCACAAACTCACCAAAAACACACTAGCATGCTCCTTCAACGTCTACTCCCAAAAGTCACACCATCTCCCCTCCTGCTCACCAAGAGACGAACCTCCCACTTGCTATTCCACCGCCCACCCCACCACCCCGTAAACCCCCCCGGCATCATCACCGCCATCATGACCATCCACATGCAGGGCCGCTGCGTCTGCAAGAAGCTGCAGTACTCGCTCGACCTCAACTCGACCGAAGACGCCCGCACCACGCTCTGCCACTGCCACAGCTGCCGCCGCGCCTTTGGCACCAACTACGGCCTGACCGCGAAAGTGCCGCTCTCCGCCTTCAAGTACGAGAGCGGCACGCCCAGGAAGCACAAGCAGGAGAATGGCGTGACGCGCGAGTTTTGCGACGAGTGCGGGGCGTACATCTGCGAGTATGGGGTGCGTCTTTCAAAATTGCCGTCCAATGCAGTAATTAAATGACGGTGAAAGATGCTGACAGTCAGCGCAGGAAGAGGCGGCCGACAAGTTCCGCTACGTCATGTGGGGGTCGCTGGACGAGCCCGAAAAGGTGCCGCCCAAGGGCGAGTTCTTTTGCAAGAGCCGGACTGAGTGGATGCCCGAGCTTCAAGGTATGGCTCAGATACCGAGCGTGGGAGAGTGCGACAGGCCGAGGCTCTAATTAGTATCGACAGGCGTGTTTCACAAGAAAGAGATCAAGGAGTAGAGTATTGCGGCTTCTGGATGAGGTTGATGCTTGGGATTCCGAAATGCATGGTCCACACTGTGTTTGAGACTTAGACAGGGCCGTGGGGGTGGGTTGCGACACCGGCAGGTCCGTTCTGGTGAAACCTGGAGAAGGCCGCTGTTCGGATACTTGCAGCAAGGAACAAAGAACCTTTGGGTGCTGAGGCATGGCTGTTACTTGTTGACTTTGGTTGGTTCCAGAGGGCTGAAGAGCACAATGAACCTGGCCAGAAAGTGGAACAAAGGAACTCACAGACAGGGTCCTAAGGGAGTGGCATCCAACACGGCAATGCCGAACCAAGGAATAGCCCAAGCAAACACACTATCAAACGGAGAATTTGATTCCTTCAGA